CGATTATTTCTAAACAAGAAGATATCGAAAAACTGGTTACTAGAAAGCGCTTCACGAGCTCTTTCAAACGGTACTATTGGTTACAGAATAAACTGGATCGATCTGGAATATTGTTGTATCTTCCTTAAATATTCCTATTTCAGTACACTTACTTTTTAGTTAGTATTTTAGGTCAGCTCTAGTAAGTAAATACAACTAGCTTTTCCGTGTCAACTCACAATAAACACAAAATATCCTTATAATGAGTATCATAAGAGGAATGTCAAAATCACAGAAACAATTATAATTTTATTTATAGGTAAACAATTTACAACCGCAACTTTGCTAGTTATTTAATATTATTTGAGGTATAATATTTCCAAATCAGCATTGCCTATCCTGTAATAATAATATTGTATCAATGTGATTTTAAACAATGAATTAACCATGTAGACGTTAAATACAACAACGCATGTAACACATATGATATACTTTTCGAATGAAGTCGGTTAAAAATTGTAAACTTTAATATACTGCTGGTTGATTTTTCAATCATCAGATATCTTTTAACTGAAGAATAAACTTGTCATTTCAACATATTTCCCACACATTAAACTGTCAATATGCCTTTATTCGTATAAAAATTACGTTTGAAAAGCCAGCCCTCAGTAGTCTGGCACTCTGGCTGTATCTAATTGATAAGCCTTATTACATATTCCATTCTTAATTTTTTCCTTTTTCACACAGAATCTGTGGTGATATCGGCATCAGTAGCCATCAGTGGGCAGCTGCCTTCGAGCCAGGAGTTGCCATACATTACGCCGCCGTCGCCGCGCCCGATCACTGATAATGCGGTCCACTTTAGCGGGGACTCCACTGATTCTGCCAGTAAGTCTGCTAAGATTTTTTTTATCCACAACGTGGTAGCTCATGACTTGCAACTCACCTGATGGAATGTGATGATCAAGTTGAAGGTAGAAACCGCACAGAGGAACTAGCTATCTTACCTCTAACTACCGGAACACAAAAATGCTGTTAACATTCTTGTTATGGCGATTGGCGACAGACTTAGGTGAGATGGTGGTAGCTGGCCATTCCACCGAAGCGAGCAAAAAATATTGTACATGCCAAAATACACATTTCGATGTAGGACAGTAAGGGATGTGCCCTTAATGGCCATACACCCTCGTTAGAAGAGGATTCATTTTTTCAGCGACTCTTTTTACAGTAAGCAATTTTTATGCAATAAAATTCACAGAAGTTTTATTCAACTATTCTCTATACATAGATATACCTATTGTATAGAAAAATATATCACAGATAAATCCAAGATAGCTGGCAAAGTAGGATAGTATATTTAACACTATAATGCCAATCTCCGGATGATTTATACTATAAAATCGGTGCTAATGCGGAAAATTCAAGCGACTAAACCAAAGACATGTTGTCATTCTCTCGCTAAATACTCGTGATGATGAGTCAAATAGGCGTATCGTACCACTTTTTAGTTTCAGAGTATTATTTTTGAAATTGCACCAAACTAACTTCAAATACTGAATAGTTAAGAATTTCGTTTTACTTCAATGCAAAGTCTACTCATTGAACAAAGTCTATTCCTTCGAACTTGAGTTTTCTAGAAGCAAATTATTATGAAGCTTAAAGAACTCATACCTAATTGATTCCTATCTATAATCTGTGTACTTATTTGGTAAAAATGATTTATTTTCGGGTTGCACTTTTTATCGATTAATCTACACAGGTACAGGCTGTCCGTAATATTTTAAATCATCGAAGTAGAGACAACCCTACACGGTATTGTTTTTCATGCTATTGAACCTGCCATAGTTATTTATTGAAAATGTCTAATAGGGAAAAATAGGGTTATATTTTTGACTGCTGACAGAAAAAACAAAACTTGCAATTTCATAAAAAATATAATATAAAATATTGTAATGATTTAGGATTTAAGCATCCCCCTGTATGCAGAGCAAAATTGCAGTAGCAAACACACAAATTACTTTAGATAAAAATGTCATATCATTATTAACATGCTTAATAAGTATTATATCTTAGTAAAAATCTGGTCAACGATCCTTTTGTGCTTACATCAATTTCTGAGAACCCACAGTAGGTATAGATAATTCAAAAGACGACTCAGATTGCAATCGAATTTATATGGAAAATCAGCAAAACAACAAACCAAATGCTGATAAATCTCCTAGATTTGTATCTATGAATAGACTCGGCTCTTTTTATTTGTTTCTCAAAATATACATAATTATTATGTGAAATCCTATTTCGTAACTGTTATCACATCGTTAGTGTTTATCGTGGTACTGAATTGATGCTCGAGAAATATGTGAACGTTACGTGATAGTTTAAATACTTTAGACATAGTGTTAAAAGTTTATCAAAAATGATTAATTAGAAGATATTTTTTGAGAATAGAAGACGTATGAACGTTAATATTTTTTTGTATTTGCATTTTTATTAGCTTTACTTAAGTTAGAGGCGGAAGGCGTAGTGTGGGTAGGCCACTCCACTAGGCAAACCGACGATCTGGTAAGGTCGTGGGAAGCGTAGGACTGGTCAAGAAAATCCTTGGGCCTTTCCTTCCTTCATCCTTGGAGGCCTTTGTCCAACAGTGCACGTCATTCATTCGGCTAAAACGAACGAACTTAAGTTAGGCCTAGAATCCAGATAGATAATACATTTGATGGTTATAATTATTTTCAGAGGGATACACCAGCATATCTGTGCGAGAGCCACTGAGCAACATCCGCGCTCAAAGCACCAAGCCGCCGACGCAGCCACATTATGCCACCGTTTCTGATGATTCTGGTAAGTTGACAAATAATTTTGAGGGTTTCAAAATTAATTAGACTTGTTCGCAGATTTGAGCAAAAAGACCTGACTGAAGACATGAGTGTAGTTGTAGAAGTTTGCATCTGGCGTATTAAAGGCTAACTACTAACCTAGCCTAGCACTGACGCACAGCCTGTCTACTATAAATAAAATAGAATATTATGTATAATTTTATTTAACTTACGTGCTACATACTGACATGCAGAAGCTCATTTTTAAATATTTTTAATAACTTTTCAGTCACCTGTTTCTGCTTTGCAAATCTTTGGATGGCTTTCCAATATTCTTCTGATAAAATTAGCTGCGGGGTTCAAAGACAGTAAGCTGTCCTCCGGGACTTGTCAACCTTCACTGGTTGTGTTTCATTGGCGGCGAAGCTATACACCACTACATTTTTATCACCGAAAAAAATTTCTGGGTAATGAGTTATTGATACTGATGCTATTTATGAAAAAAAAAGTTAAATAAAGTTACTCAAAATTTCATCTCAAAATTGATAATTTATGGACACACGCGTCGCTAGCACTATTTATGTAAGACTAGCTTTCCGCCCGCGGCTTCGCCCGCGTGGAATTTTGTCTGTCACAGAAAAACTTTATCGCGCGCGTCCCTGTTTCAAAAACCGGGATAAAAACTATCCTATGTTCTTTCCCGGGACTCAAACTATCTCTATGCCAAATTTCATCAAAATCGGTTGCGAGGTTTAAGCGGGAAAGCGTAACAGACAGACAGACAGACAGAGTTACTTTCGCATTTATAATATTAGTTGGGATGGTCTCAGGGCGCTGACTGTTCGTTGCGGCCGTGATTATGCCTAGCCTCTTTTTAAGAGATCCTTTTGTTGTTGTAACGCGAGAATGTCTCTATAATTAGTTCCCCTCCAGCATGAGATGCTATTAATATTTGAGAAACAATGTGTCAAAACTGAGATGAGGGTCAAGTCTGGATACCGCTTCTCACAAATGTCATGAATAATAATTTATCTTAATAAGCACGTATTAGGAACAAACGCTTTGGTATTCGTGACTAAGACCTCTTGTCTAATATTTCTCGTCAGTTGAAGAGCCTAACCAACTTACCTAATTAAACTTGAAATATTTATCGTAGATACTAAATATTTATTAAATCCTACTGCTTCTCTATTAACTTGGCTGAAATTCAGAAAAGGAAAATCCTATCAACACTACACCAGACATGGACACTGCCGCTCAAATGCGAATTGGTGGATAAAAATACACGCCCGGAAATCCAGTCATATTATTACTATCGATGAGATTGCGAGGTGTGTACATTTGGTGTCTGTCTGGCTCATAGGGTTGCCAAAAATTATAAATTACTAGCTTTCCGCCCGCGGCTTCGCCCGCGTGGAATTTTGTCTGTCACAGAAAAACTTAATCGCGCGCGGCCCTGTTTCAAAAACCGGGATAAAAACTATCCTATGTTCTTTCCCGGGACTCAAACTATCTCTATGCCAAATTTCATCAAAATCGGTTGCGAGGTTTAAGCGGGAAAGCGTAACAGACAGACAGACAGACAGACAGAGTTACTTTCGCATTTATAATATTAGTTGGGATAATGTAACATTTATTAGAACTCAAAATTAGTTGAAGTTAGTTAAGTAAGTAATAATAACACTGGAAGCGTGGTCGAGGTGTGAGCGAGACAGACAGATCGGGGCAATGTGCGAGCGCATACGACTACTCTAGCGAGCTTCGGAGTACCCCAGCCAGCTGTGACACGTAAAATACGGACACGGAAATTTAATAAAAAAGTCAACTTTATGAAAACATTTTTTTTTACTTTGGATGATGGGCATATTGGGCGTTAAACCAACAGAAACAAAAAGTATACTAAATTAAAGCTTAATACTAGTACTTCATTTCATAGTATGACAACAACCCTGAAATACGCGAGGATACGGAGATAGAGGTCGTTGAATATGCAAAGTTTCCATAGTATTTCACATCACATTAGGGTAATAAAATAGTATTAGGTCAATTAGATTGCTTGTATCGATCATATTGAGAGTATTGTATCATATCTTACTATCGATTCTATCGATTTAGTAAGTATATACCGAATAAATCATAATCGATTATTCGATTGCAATAATCGATTATATTGCTGAAAATAAGGAATCGAATTAACAATCAAATGATAGTGATGATGATCAATAAAATCGATTAATCGAATTGTTAATCGATAAATCATTATTTGGCAGTATCGATTAATAATCGATCCGTGATCGATTATGCGACAACACTACAACTTAAATGGTAGAAATCCCAGTGAAATATGACTGTGTTCATGTCATTTCTCTAAATGGTACCTAGGTATGGTCCTACGCTCATAATGTAGAACATGGTATATTATATACCATTTTGTTACCCCACTCCTGAACTGTTGGACATAATAATTGATAAATAACTTAATGTATAAATGTAGATATATTAATTAATAATATTTTTTGTTTGCGCCATAAAGCACCTATTAGTATTACACATTATGTCAATTTCCAAGCAAACCCGGGAGTTTTTGGTAGTTATTTATATGAAAATATATTTCTGATACTAAGTCCTAACAAATAATAGTTGTTACATTTCTGTTGGTTTTACGCCCAGATTCCATAGAAAAGTGCCCATCATCCTTTTTCACATATTTCTACATAACCTGTTAAAATTATTTCGGTGATAAAAATGTAGTGGTGTATAGCTTGCAGGTCGCTGCGGTCAACGAAAACGAACGCGGCTTGGCCGCCTAATGCGCAGGAGCATTTAGACCCGTGATGTTGCAAATCTATATATATAAAAGAAAGTCGTGTTAGTTACTTCGCTTATAACTCAAGAACGGCTGAACCGATTTAGCTGAAAATTGTCCGAGAGGTAGTTTAGAGCCAGGAGAAGGACATAGGATACTTTTTATCCCGTTCGAAATTAAAAAAAAGTCATTAAGGCCATTAAGGCGGAACAAAGTTCGCCGGGTCAGCTAGTCTATATATATAAAAGAAAGTCGTGTTAGTTACACCACTTATAGCTCAAGAACTGCTGAACCTATTTAGCTGAAAATTGTCAGGGAGGTAGTTTAGAGCCAGGAGAAGGACATAGGATACTTTTTATCCCGTTCGAAATAAAAAAAAAAGTCTGCTTATTTATTGCCATTAAGGCGGAACAAAGTTCGCCGGGTCAGCTAGTATAGAATACATTAATGTGTCTTCTGCAGACGAGATGTATGCGGCGATTGAGGAAGCCAGCGTGGGCGAGGGCTCAGACACTTACGCGCAAATCGCGCCTGAGCCGCGGCGCCGCGAGCCCGCCGCCGACCGCGCCCAGCCCGACGCCAGGTAACGACCGATAGCCCACTGCTGGACATAAGCCTGGCAAAGCTGGCCATAAAGATGTTTTCACCTATAATTAAGTTTGCATTTAACAAGTGTCATTTTTTATAGTTACTTTTGTGAAGCCTTAATGTAACCTTGTTCAAATAAATAAATAAATCATTAGCTTCTAAATCGCCACACCATAACCCGCTTATTTCATCCAGATACAAATTATTTTAGCCCATACCAGTTCGCTGTTGGACATAAAACTCTCTTATTTCGTTTAAATGTATTATCTTTGATTTTTAACCACATTTATCTCAATCTGACAAAATTGAACATTGCCTTTTGGCATATTATAAGAGCTTGGCAATAATTGTTTCTTGTTTTACCGATAAAATTGATGTGTATTGTAATGTATTTACAGCTTTTTATTTTCATATTTTCAGAAGAAGCGCTCCTCCAGAAATCGGTGCGTCTACATCCAACGCCACACATTCCCGTCAAGGTATGCTACTTGTGAAATCATTTTAGGTATAATTACAATGGCAAAGAAGACAATAACGTGTTTTCTGTTTCAGCATCCTCTTCTTCGTGCTCGAATTCAACTGGTGCATTAGGATCGCCAAAACCTGAGAAGCGGCAGGCCAACTCGCCCCTGCCGCCCCCGCCGCACCCTTCCCACGCGCCCCACTCCTCCCACTCGTCCCAGTCCATGCATTTGTCCCATCCGCCACACTCGACTCATAACAATCAGTCGTCCCATGCTGCACATTCGTCTCACTCGTCCCATGTCTCTCACTCAGCCCATTCGGACCCGAAAGATGCGCTGCAGCGACATCATCAACGTATATCGAGCACCGGCGACCTCTTCAACCACGACAAGCTACGACGAAGTCTCAACGAGAAGCACCAACGAAACAACAGCTGCGTCAGCTCATCTGACTTCTACGGGTGTAATTACCCCGTGGACAAGCATAGGTTTAGCTCGGGTGATCTGATTCGCCCGCTAGTCGCCAAAGAGCTCAACTTTGACATAGACAACAGACCAACTCCCGCCGACAACTTATATAACTCCATAGACGCTCCTTACAGCGACTACTCCTCGGCTGACGCCAACGCCAGTCTTCCGTCTGATCAGCGCGCCTCGGAGAGCCCCTCCCGAAACGTCGAGGAAATGTACGCGAAGGTCATGAAGAAAGCCAAAGGAAAACCCGACGATCCTGTCCGCAGGTCCAAAGAATACTCCGATGAACCCGCGCCGCTGAAGTTCCGCGGCGACGACCCCGGCTACGAGACCATCGACCGCAAGAAATCCATCAACCACGGCTACGAAACCATCGCCCACAAGGAGCGCAAGACCTCCCAGAACCAGGATCCTGGTTACGAAACGGTTCGAGACGTCAACAAAGCGAACAATTTTTCTAACAACAATATGCTGAAATTGAACCACGTGAACGCCGACAGTGGACCTAACAGCATCATCAGCAGTGACGCAGGATACGAACACATCTCCAAAACGGATAACAACGCGTCCGATTCCGATCCAAACTACGAGGTGCTCCGGAACCAGCCGCCCACGCCGCCCTACGCCACTATCGCTCCGGATTACAAGCTCCAGCCCACCTACTCCACGGTTAACAAGCGGCCGAATAAGTACAACAACTGGCCCGCGAACAACAACGACGAACCACCTGCGGAACCCAACTACGAGTCGATGCCGCACGAGCCCCTCTACACGACCGGGAGCGAGTCCGACCCTAACTACGAGTCCGTCCGCCCCAAGGACCCCAACTACGAAAGCGTCCACGCGCAGGACCCGAACTACGAATCGTTGCGGTGCAAGGACCCCAAGTACGAGTCGGTCCGCTCGAAAGACTCGAGCAGGTCGAAGAAGGATCCGAACTACGAGAGCGTGAAATATTTCGAGCTGGCCCGAAAGGAGCCGCCGTACGAAAAAGTGAACAACGAGGGCCCCACCGGCAGTGCGGTCGAAAGGTCCGACTCCGCGGCGGGGTACGAGAGAATCAACGTCGCCGGCAACAGAGAGCCGAAGAGCAGTATTAACAATGGTACGGATGCCACTGTCAGCGACTACTTTCAGGTCTGAATGCCGCCGTGATCCGGCACGGAAGTGGCGATCTGAGGTATTAATATGAGTGACGAAACTTTCGACCCGTTATGAGATTTGAGTGCTTTTATTTATTTATATGGTTGATATGACCCCGCAATCTAATACCTCACTGATAGGATGTTATTCCGTAATATCTTCCTTAGGTATCTGTGATATATATTATGATTGAAATTTGGATATATTTTTATTTTTTACTGAAATGAAATTTCCTTTTGAACGATATCATTCAATAGACACTGAACGAAATACATATATTTTTCTGAATGAAATACTGACGAGTGTTTGTAATCTCCATTGACAACTCTGTGTTCATAAGTGTTTTACAATTTTTAAGTGGAGGTATGTAATTTTGCATACATTTTGTACAAAATGTAGATTGTACATAATTTTGCTATGTAGGTAATTTATAATAGCTTTTATCGTGAGTATGAATAAGAAGTATTTCTTCGATTAGTTAATTAGATAATTTAATATAAAATGTTTTTTTATTTTCTTAAGACTGTTTTTATGTCGCAAGATTCATCGAAATTTTAAAGTATGATTTTTACTGTGAGATTTTTGTTTTTTATTCATGAAGGTTGTTTTTATAACTTTTTATAGGTAATTGATATTATAATTTGTATGAGTAGAAACGAAAGTAAGTACTATTTGTTCAATGTGCATTATTAAATAAATAATATTGAGGTCGGCGCAATAAATAGTTGGATTAGTATCTGCGTAGGCAGGTTAAACACTATCATAAAAATGTATTATCGGTGTTCAAAAGTGTACTAATGTAGGCGATGTAAAATTTAATGGCATTGAATAATAGTAATCTGTGGTGGCGACATTGTTTTGTTTTAAACCGTACACTCGGCGCAACAGCGCAACTTTTAAAATACATATACTCTCTTGACAGTACCGCATTTTGTTTGTAAAGTGATTTCAATTCGCTGAATTCGAATGAATTGTGGAAACAGAAGTAGAAGGCATCTATTGTGAATTGCCTAGTGACTCGATTTCTGAATTTTTTGCACTTGGGACGTTATTGCGTCGAGTGTGCGACACCGTTATGTTGTATTATTTTTAGCTAATATTATTGACATGAAAGATATTAAAGCATCGGTGTCATATAGGTTCTGTGAAAAGGGTAGGTAATAATAAAGTACCTGAATTGTATTCATCTACATAACTATATTTACTGATGATTAATCTTTATATAGGAATGGCACATACTTTTATAAAAATATAAATTGCTTAATATCATAACTTCTACAAATGTAATTCTGTTGTTAATGCTGAACAATGTATTATTTCTTCATTTTACTTATATCGACTACTTTTTCTATATTATTGAATAATTTCTAGTTTATTTTCGCGAATACCTTTTCTTAGATAACTTATGATGGCACTTGTGTAAATATAGCATTTAATCAACTGTTATAAATGTATATCACAATCTATTATGAACTATATGCTGCATATTAATCTACAAACGAATACACGAAACCATTCCATCATGAATATTTCCAATGGTAAAAAATATTTAACGAATAAAGATTGCCATAAATAAAAAGTTTGTTTTAACATTGAAAACGAATTATTCTACCTACTACTTGAAAATTAATATTATTAGGGCAAGCTTCGGGAAAGAGGTCAGTGGAATCAAACCCAGGAAAATTGAGAACAATCGTCTCGCAAGGCTGCAATGTTTTCGATAATACTCTCCCGTGTAGGTTTATCAAATTAAAATACTTAAAACTAAACATTTTATTTTAAGTATCAATAAACCAAATTATTTCTAACCGTTACATCTTTATTTCTTGTTCAGGTTGATAAAAAAAAAACGATCTGACAGCAGTGTTATGACGTGTACTGTCAAAAAATTATTGTCAATTTGTCAAATCAATTGTCAACAGAAGGGAATGGGAAGGCGAAGTTGCTAATTTCCAAAATATTGTTTGAAAAATTAACGTAAATATTACTAAATATGGCCAATTATAATCCAAATGAATATGCATGGCAAGCACAAAACCAGAATAGTCAAAGTTACTCATTTGATACATCCAACGCATTCGCAGATCAAGCTCAAACTTTGGGTAAGTGATACTTAACTGAGTAGTTCGGTAATTTCCCTAATCAGCCCAAATTTTGAGTCCTTGGAAATAATATCACCCTTATCTTTTGATTTCAGATTTTCAGTCGTTCCCCACAGATCAACAGAGTTTTTCACTAGATCAAGGACATGGTCAAATGCAGGCCAACAATAACCAATATTACAATCCTAATTTATTTACGCCTGCACCGATACCTGGCGAAGGTATAGCCGAATCAACCGACTTCGATGAACCACCACTATTGGACGAACTCGAAATTTATCCAGACCGAATACTAGAGAAAACACTTGCAGTGTTAAATCCTTTTCATGGCCAATCTAAAGCTGACGATGCCAACTTTTTACTCCGAGACACAGATATTGCAGGGCCCATAGCATTTTGCCTTGCTTTAGCCGTTTGTTTATTTTTGTCAGGGAACAAAGCACACTTTGGCTATGTGTATGGTCTATCTGTAATGTCTGTTATTTTGATGTATTTCCTACTATCTTTGATGTGTCGCACTGAAGGTGTTTTCACTGTTCTTAGTGTTGCTAGCGTCTTAGGTTATTGTATGTTACCTATGGTAGTGCTTGCAGGCCTAGGCATTTTCGTGTCACTGGAGGGCACTTTAGGCATTTCTTTATCAGGGGTGGCAGTGATTTGGTCTGCATTGTCAGCGAGTAGACTCTTTGTTACTATGTCTGGTGACGCTGAGCAAAGGCCTCTTATTGCATACCCATGTGCCTTAGTCAACGGTGTATTTGCACTACTAGTTTTGTTTTGAATAAGTTTATTTAACTTTTATTTGTATAATGCATGTATTTCATTCTTTGAAATCCATAAATTGTAAGCAAACATTATTTAGATGACATGCCAGAGTTGAGAAATATTTAATAAAAAGAGCAATTAAAATTCTAACAAATTGTAATTTAATTTCTTATAGCAAAAACTGGAGCATAATAATTGTTCAGTCATACAGTAATTACTTCAATTTTGTAAAGTCATTATTAACAAATCAAGATCATTATAATGAAAATGTAAGTCTTATTGATTATAACATCTATTTTGTACCCTTGTTTAAAGAAAAAATTACTCAATAAAATGTAAATAATCAGAAAACCAAATTTTTTAATAAATATTCTATGTATTTCTTTTACTATTATTACATTCGATTATATAATGTAGGTCTGTCACTGAAGAAGTTTTTGAGGACCATCACTTGTACGAAGGCGACGCAAACAACCGCCAAAGTCTCTCCCATGGACCACCAGAACACTCTTTCATTTAAGTCTTCTGCTCTCTTGCGTCCTTGAGCTTCCCTTAGTCTGTGATGAGTCTGATGGTCAATTATTTTGTTGAGGGCGGAGTGAATTTCCTCAGCTGAAGTCTCCAACTGCAAAGTATTAAAATATAAATAATAGATAATGCACACAGCACAAAACCAATAATTGAAAGAATTTAGAATTAAAACTGAATAATTAAGGCGGTGCTGGAAAGCAATTTATTTCCAGATAATCTAGGCAGACAAGGAGGACAGCTATTCAAGACAAGGGCAAGGTGGTGACTAGAGATGGGTTTGTAGCCAGCTAGTTTGGATAATAACTGATTATTATCTATTAATAGCCATTATTAGCCATCCATTGGCTATTAACCCTGCTGTTAATAGTTTCTTACGTTTTTTCTTCCACCTTTAAAATCAAATCAATATTAAAATCAAATATTACTCAAAGAAACAAAAAAGAACTAAAAAACATCAATGTAATTTATATAAACGACATTGTAGTTAAAAAAGAATCTAAATATTATACAATAAAAGGAGAAACTGACTGACTTAGTGACAGATCAACACACAGCCTAAACGGCTAAACGTAGGCACTTGAAATTTGGAAGGGACGTAGCTTAAATACCGTAGAGGTGCACTAAGAAAGGAATTACCAAAATTCCCAAGGGAACGGGAAATAGCGGGAAAATCCTTTGTAATGAAAAATCTAAACCGCTTAAGTTAGACGCTTGAAATTTGGCATGTAGGTACATTAGTAAACTTAAAGCTTAGTTACAACAAGGAATTCCCGATATTCCCAAGGGAACGGGAATTAGCGGGAAAATCCTTTTGTATGAAAAATCTAAACCGCTTAAGTCAGACGCTTGAAATTTGGCATGTAGGTACATTAGTAAACTCAAAGCTTAGTTGCAACAAGGAATTCCCGAAATTCCCACGGTATTGGGAATTAGCTGGAAAATCCTTTTGTATGAAAAAAGTAAACCGCTTAAGTTACACGCTTGAAATTTGGCATGTAGATACCTTAGTAAACTGAAAGCTTAGTTACAACAAGGAATTCCCGAAATTCCCACGGGAACGGGAATTAGCGGGAAAATCCTTTTGTATGAAAAATCTAAACCGCTTAAGTTAGACGCTTGAAATTTGGCATGCAGGTATCTTAGTAAATTTAAAGCTTAGTTACAACAGGATATTGCAAAATTCCCACGGGAACGGGAGTTGAATTTCGGGAATTCCTTTCTTAGTGCACCTCTACGGTACCTAAGCTACGTCCCTTCCAAATTTCAAGTGCATATGTTTAGCCGTTTAGGCTGTGCGTTGATATGTCACTAAGTCAGTCAGTTTCTCCTTTTATATATTTAGACTAGCGGCCGCCCGCGATTTCGTACGCGTGGATCCCGTTTTAGCCCCTACATCTATCTTACGCGGTTTAGATTTTTTCATACAAATGTTTTTTCCCGCTAACTCCCGTTCCCGTGGGAATTTTGCAATATCCTCTTGTAACTAAGCTTTGAGTTTACTAAGGTACCTGCATGCCAAATTTCAAGCGTCTATCTTACGTAGTTTAGATTTTTTTATACAAGTGTTTTTTCCCGCTAACTCCCGTTCCCATGGGAATTTTGCAATATCCTCTTGTAACTTAGCTTTGACTTTACTAAGGTACCTGCATGCCAAATTTCAAGCGTCTATCTTACGTGGTTTAGATTTTTTCATACAAATGTTTTTTTCCCGCTAACTCCCGTTTCCGTGGGAATTTTGCAATATCCTCTTGTAACTAAGCTTTAAGTTTACTAAGGTACCTGCATCCCAAATTTCAAGCGTCTAACTTAAGCGGTTTAGATTTTTCATACAAAAGGATTTTCCCGCTAATTCCCGTGCCCGTTGGAATTTCGGGTATTCCTTTCTTAATGCACCTCTACGGTACCTAAGCTACGTCCCTTCCAAATTTCAAGTGCTAAATTTGTAAACTATGAAGGGATATGTTTAATCATTAGTATAACATTAATAGCAGGGTTACCATCTGAAATCGGCTATTTTTGGCTATTTATGGCTAATAACTGCTTTTAATCCGTTACTAGCCAATTGCTATTAATCGGATTATTAGCACTTACCCATCTCTAGTGGTGACCGATATATAGTCAACGAATAATAATAATTAAATTCATACAAGGTATAAAAAATGAGACAAATCATAGATAGTCACCTGTGTAAGTACTGTCGCATGGTCTCCTACTCCTGGCAGAGGTTCCTCTGGGCCAACATTAAGTTCCATGTACACCAGTTTGTGTGAGAACGTACTGAATTCATTGCTGAAGCACACTTTGTACACACCTGAAACATTCACACACAGGTGTTTTGAACAATGGTGGCTATATTTTACTGTTCAATTCTTTGTTATGCATGAATGTGTTAGGCCTGATAAAAATGAAGTCATGAGCACAAAAATGGATAACTATGCAATTTATTCCATTGTAATAAGGTTTAAATTCATTAAGCAGCATATTTTAAGTTGGTAGTAGACTATATTGTCGAGAATTTAATTAATGTTTAAGCACACCATTTAACAAAACTTATTAACAGGTTACTGTAATCAATTAGGGTCACTTTGGACAGTATTAATAGTAAATACTTACTTCAAAGAATGTAAATCAAGAGAAACATTACATATTTATAGAATTGCTTATGTATTCTAGTTTAGTGTTTATTGGGGTATGACAAATGTTGATAGATGATACAGACCTGTTTGTTGAGCAGTGAATTGATGAGAATCATACTGCATCTTCTGTTGCTGGTAGATTATTTGTTTATTGGGTCCTTCTACTTTAACATCTACATCGTATTGGCCGCCAGTGATTACCTACAACAAATCAATCACAAACAGAACAAATGAAGTAATGTAGGTTATGTTATTACCAAAACTGATTTCTTAGTTATAATTAATAAGTCATAGCTTTTAAATATTATTGTGAAAAGCTATAATTTACCTGGTATTCCAGCGCGGCAGAAGTATTTTTTTCTATCTCCTGATAAAAACATTCTACGGCACTGTCGGGCAGTTCGAAGGTAAGTTCAACACTTTTTGAAAATATGCAATTAAATAATGACACTAAAATGATGAATATTAATGGTCTTACAAACATCTTTAGATAATTTTTGGAATAAGTGTGAATAAAACTTAAAATTAGATGCTTTTTGTAAAAATATTCATCGATTGATGATTGACTGACAGATGACAACTTGACATTTTACACACCACGTAATTGGCTGCGTTCCATGCTGCAGAATCGAACAAAATTTTTATTCGAAAATAAAAATACTTCGAGCGGATTCTGGTATAAGGAGAAGGCACTTGACGAGGATTAAGTATAACAATAACTCTTGTTTTACTGACGCGCCCGTATTCACAAAGGGTTCCCTACGTTTTATCGGAGCCGTTTCATCGAATGGTCTCATATCTCGAATGTCGTTTCATCGAATGGACGAAACAGGTTATTAACGTCTTCTTCCCACCTTCATCTTTTTCTTCTCGTCTCCTAGCTCCTGTTCTCTTCTGCTTTTCTTCGTCTCTTCTTCTTCACATGTTCTTTTTATTTCTTCTTCCTTCTCTCAAAATAGGGCCAGGGAAGAAGATAAGAAGAAAGAAAAAGGAAGAAAAATATGAGAAGAAGAAGAAGAAGACGATGTCACGATTAATCTAATTTAATATTTCGTACATTCGATGAAACGGCTTCGATAAAACGGCATTCGATGAAACGACTTTCGTTATAGCATAACAAAGCCAATAAAATTTTCTAGATCATTTCGTCCTAAGTGTTATGTATCGTTATTTTATATCGGTATTTAATTTGTTATTATAAGCGCGTATCCAAACGTAGCTAGTTTAAAAGCATTATTCAGGATGTGTATCCGAGATTCCTTCTTCTTGATACTAAAGATGTGTCGTGATGGGTTTTTGAAATAACGAAACGCGACGGTTTTCGAATCACGAATAACGTTTTCAAAACTAGTTTTTTTTAAACGAAGTTATTTCCACAACGCTCAAGCAAGAGTGATAATAATAACGTTAGGTGTTTGGTTAGCTGCAAGGCCTTTAGGAACTTATGACCTTCAAAATAAGACTCAAATTCGATTGACTATCTAACGTACGACGAAGATTATACCTATTTCATCCACACTTATGTTAACGTCCTATAGCTTTCTCACTCGCACACGCACTCGATTCGTTGCGATCCTTATTATTTGGACACCATACATTACTCGCTTTACTCCTTTAGGTTACAAAAAATATGTTTAAGAATTGTCAATGTACGACGTTGTCCTCAAAACTGTCATAACGAAGCGGGAAACACGTTATTTTTTGTGTCAACCAAACATCTACCTTATGTTGTTTGCTTAAGAGTGAATTCAGTTTATTAACCCTTTTCTTGGCATCGTAACACGGGTGATACATCATAATTTAAAAAATCCTGAGGACAGCAAAAGCATTAGAAATAATTTATTTCATACATAACACGTTCCTGATATATCATAGAATGAGATAAAAAAAACTATTCACACAAAAATACATTTGGCTGTCAGTTATTGTCAAAATTGGATAACCTAAGCATGTTGGCTTCAAACGCGTGGTAAGTTTATTTGTTTATTGGTGATATCACAAAATATTTGTGTTATTTTCTGTATGTAATTTACAGAAGAAGGATTGCTGTGAGTTTTTCGTTTGGTTTGGATGGTGTGTATTGCTACTTGCCGATTTTATAACCGTCCATGTGCCTGTGTATCATATATGTTACATTGCCAAGTGCTTCGTGATGTATTTTTAAATC